ACATTTCTGATACATGACTCCTTCCTTACTCTCACACATTTCTATCTTCTTTGTATACCAGGTTGTGTATATGTCAGAGATCTGATGAAAGGGCCAAGAATTTTATGTGTCCCTGTTAATTTTAACTTACATATCATCGGCTCACAAATGTTTAAAATTAAAAAAATCATGACTGCATATTTTTAAGTTCAAAATAAGCAATGAATGCAAAATTTTAGAAAATTTGAAAAAATTACGTCACTCAGGTATTGAACTTATTTTGTGAGAATAAATATTTCCTCATCTTTACTTTTAACATTAGATAGTTCCAGGTGAAATCAAGAGCTCTTTATATTGTAAATAACAGTACCTGACACTTTTTTGCTGGGATGGAGATCTGTATTTTAGACCTGTGCCTCAAGATGTTGAGATCTACCCCTATATAACAAAATTCTAAATGCAATAAAGCACTAGAGGAGAAAATGGATATTTAAAAACAACAAACAAGCTTCATTAAAAATTGAAGCTTTAAATGAAAGAGCAGAATAGGAGCCAACTTGCTTTCTTCCAGGGTGTCTCAAACCTTCTGTGATCCAACGCAGTAAATGTCCCTCCTAGTTTTATTCTTTCAACTGCCACTGCTCAGACTAAGAGTTTTCCAATTAGCATTGCCTGTACAGGTAAAAGATCCATGGTATCTACTCTATTACTAGAGCAGTTAGACTGGTGGGTTATAATCACAGGCTGGGTGATTTATAGGTTTCTCTGTGTGGGAAAGTTTCTACTCAGTGAGCTGAGGTTTGAATTTACAGTAGCCCTACCTTATTCCACTTTCGTTTTTAAATATAGTTGGAAACAAGCTCATTGGAAAGTGAACTTGGAGTCGGTTACCTGGCAAATTACTCAGCTATAAATTCTAGCTTCTGTTTGTGAAAAGGGGTTGGGGTTTTGGTTTTGTTTGGGGCTTTTTGGTAAACAAGTCAAATTTTTCTTTTTATTGAAACACACTGATTGAAATTTATGTAATGTTTACGGTTTTATTCTATTAAGTTAACCCGGTCACTGTTGCTACTGTTATTAAAGTACAGGAGAAAAACAACCAATTTAAAAAAAAAAAAAGCTAAAGTAGTGCTATAGTGCAAAGGTGAAGTACAGAAGTAAGGCCTACAGTATGACTCGGGTCTAGGTTCTATTCTATATGGTGCCAATATGCCTTAAGCACAAATGATGTTGCTTGCTGTCATGAGGTTCATATCCTATAATTGTTTGACCTTTCTGCATCCTGCATATACTGCAACATTATAGGTGTATGTGTTTCTCATCAGTACTGTGGATATTGAAAAAAGCATCTTATTAAATGGAGCAAAAGAAAGGGCTTACACAATTAATGGAAACCCAGAAAAAGACTGAGACGAGAGCAAGTAGCTCCATCAGAACTCAAAGAGAGTCCTATGGTCCAGCTTGGATAGGAGCTTCCTTGAAGGAGTTTTTGGTTTCTTTGTATGAAGACTGGTGGTTTCGTTGTGTCAGAAACCACCTATCATTATTTAATGCTACTAATTTCCTCCAGCTTCTAGAAAGACAAAGCTACCATGTACTTCTAAAAACACACAGACTTCTGGTCTACGATTTCATTTGAAGCATTTCTGCGTCCTAATTCACCTGTAAATATGGTGCTGCAATGCTTGCTTACACTTAACAGAGTAGCTGCCAGTGCTTTCAGGCTCTTTAATGAAAGGCACCTTCATTGCAAATTAATTTATGAATTTTAAGAAACTCTGGGTGTGTTCTGTGACAGAGTTCATGTTTGTCAGCCTGTAGCCCTCGTAATATGAGGCTTTGAAAGGTCAGATGTGGATTCCTAACAAATGTGTTTATTTTAGAGTAACCTGTGGCATCCAACTTTTTTCTTCTTTATCCCCTTTCCTTGTTAGACATAATATTCCTGAACTCTTGGGAGTGGCTATTGATGTCACTTAATGATTTCTAATATCCTACCTTGACAGGTATCTTTTTATTCCATCACTCATTGCTATAAGATCAACTCCAGCTCCAGTGATCAAAGGAATACAATTATATGACCAAGTGCAAAAGTGAACTTCAGAGCTGCCTACTGACACATGTTTAAGTTGAAAAATGTTTTTTAGGAACTGCAGTTACCTCACCTTTCCAGTAGATGACACTTTCACCAAAACACTTTAATCTCAATTCACATATTTTCTGATTCCTTCCTTTTCCCCTGGTTGAACTGTCATTTTGAGTTCCTTTTCCTTGAAAGGATTCCTTGCTTGGATGCTTGATTACAGCAACTTCTTTTTGTTCCCAAATGTATTAGTGATGCAGTAGAACTGCATCAGTGCCATTCATAGGTGTTCTTTCTGTGATTGCAATGCCCTGTTCCTCAATCCTCGCCCTTTCCTGGTGGCTCAGTGGGCAATTGAAATCTATGGAGATTTCAGAGCCTTAGTAGGCACACCACTTGACTTTATAAATGCTCATCATACATTAGACCATTGCAATGTAAGTAATATTTAAAAAAAACCAAACATACTGTAAAAAATAAATGTAACCTGTGCTATTGTGTGCAGTATATAGTCCAAATTCAAGGTTTTTAAAGGATCTTAATATCCTAAATGGCTTAATTTCTGGAAGTGCCTAGATCCTCATAAGTGTGCTATCCTGCAGAATTTTCAGGCCTGCATCAGACATATTGTCTACTCTGTACATTTCAAGGAATGTTGGATGTGTAAGATACTGTAGTTAACGTGGAGAAGAGCTTGAGTGAATGATAAGTAAAGTGTTATGGAAAAACATGGAGGCAGAGAGGAAAAGAGCCTCAGCTCTAACTATTAACCTCAGTTTGGTGTACCTCGCTGTCAAGGCAGCTGTTTTTATCCAGGAGGAGACACTTTGGATGGAGGTCAGCAACCTGCCTTGGAGTTCAGCAATTAGGATGCATCAGTTGTTCAGAGAGGCCATAAGCTGAGAGGCAAAACCTTCCTTTGAACAATTATCTCTGTTTCCTGTTTGTGCTCAGTCTCCTGTGCCTCTTTCAGTGGTGGCCCTGGTGCATGGACACCCTGAATCCAACTGATATGATGCAGGGCTTGGTAGACAAGAGGGGTAAGAATAGACTGAGTGCACCAAGGGACCTGGTTGGTATGCTGTGATTTTCTACCTTGTTAAAGATTCTTACTTTAGGTACATGAGACTTGGGCTTGAGTGAGAGGACCAACCAGTCGGATAGCTGTGAGCTGGCAGCAGCAATTGGATTGCTTGGCAAAAACTGATAGGCAGGAACGTGGGGATCTGGGAGGCTTTGCTTTGGGGCTGGGCATCTATATAATGATCCTCCAGAGACAGATAGGCACCAAAGCAGCTTCAAGGATCTAAGCAAGCATACTTACTAAAGCCAGTGACTCACATATATATACAGAAAGTGTTCTGCTCCTGATTCAGGTCTTTATTATTTTACACTCTTAATTAAGTCTCTTTGAACCCACAGGTGCAGCCACTTACTGATGCTTATTTGAGTTCTTGTATTTGTCACAGGCTTTCATTTACCAAGATATTTCAGTCAGAAGATTGAACTAGACATCTTTCAGGGGATTTTAATGTGTTCTTGGAAACTGGGACCAACTTTGGGACTTTTCTGTTCTGGTTTCTGGATACCAGTATGCACACCTGTTTGTAGGCAAGTCTCTGACGGCTGACTTGACCACAACCATTCCCATTGTGCAGGTTGATTGAAAGCTGATTATGCGTGTATGGCAACTAAATTATTTCTTATGAAAAAGTATTTGATTTAAATTTTCATTTTTCAATTAGTTGAATTTTAACAGTCAAATGAAAAATTCTAAGAAGAAGAAAGCTTTCAGATATATGAGAGATGAAATACTTAGGATTCATACTTTTTCATGTCTGCCTATTGACTAGCCAAATGTTTTCAATTTTCAAAATATGAGCACATTGAATATTACGTTCACTTTCATATGCATCCTACAAATCTTTTAACCACTTTCTTCCAAATTCATAGTTGATGTGCTGATTTTTTTCTTTGGTTTAGTTTCTGTGAAGTTATTTCACAATACTTCAGTTGTTAAGTTGTGCTTACTAAGTTATTTCAATGTTAGTTGCACTGTTTCATTTCATGATTTCTTAAAGCACTGTCTAGAATCCAGACAGTTACGCAAATCTGTGAACTTCAGTCATTGTGTCTGAGTCTTTCTCCGATTTTTTTGTTCTTAAGTTTGTTTGGTTTCTCTGGTTTTTGGGTGGGGTTTTTTTGAGTTTTTTTGTTGGTTGGTTGGTTTTTTGTTTAAGGTTGGGTTGTGGGTTTTGGTTTTGTTTTTTTTTTAATCCAAAGCAGAATAACTTGTGAGGAATTTAAAGGATAGCTTATGGAGTAAAGCTTGGTATAAAGGAATAAGAAGGATAGGAACAAACTGTAGCACATGTTCATTCTGGTTTTGCTAGAAGAAATTTCAATCCATGTTACCTATTTGCAGGCCAATGTCCTCCTCACTGCTTGTTCAAAGAAAGCGCAGTGTTGTGGTTATGTGGTTTTATTTTACTAAATACACCTGGAACCTAAATAAAATGATGCAATTTTTGTGCCAAAATATTTAAATGTTTTTTACTTACAGAAATTATTTGAAACAGTTTTCATAAATTCAGGGTAAGAGGGGGGGATTAAACTAAGAAGCTGCAAAACTGTGTGCTAGAAAGTATAATTAATTTAATTAATTTTTATTTTAAATTTTACCATCAACTTCAAAAACTTTTAATTCATGCCCTCTGTATATTTTAAAATTCAGCTGGAAAAGTTTGTAACTGGTCCTTTTGCTCCAACCTTCACTCAGAGGAAGAGCTATGCAGACTTTCTGAAAGCTGAGCTTTCTGCTTATATTATATAATAAAAACATATATTATATATATTATATTATATAATAAAAACATCCACCATATTATGAGAGTAGAAATTCAGCTTAACTCTGGTGTTCTTTATTGTTTCCCTCTAGGTATCTGAAGATGTCTAACCAGAAGGGAGCAGTAGGTGCTGGGATTTATGGGAACTTTAGATGGCTAAAAGTAATGGCTTACTCTAAAACGTGTTTAGATTCATCCTGGTCTTAAAATATTTTTGAGGCAGGGCATGTTGTAGGACACTGAGAGTCCTATGCTATAGGTGAGGTACCAAAATCTCTCCCTTCCTTCAGCAAGCCACAGGACTCTCCCTAATAATGCTGGAAGTTAAAATGAATCATTTATGAGCATCACTAGACACATGGGTGGGGCTTCTTTTTAAACTGGTATTTTGTTGATGCAACATGTGTGACGGCCTCTTAGTTCTGAATATAAATGTTACTGAGAGGAAATTAGGTTGGTTTGCAGAGGAGATCTGTCAGACCTTGCAGTGCACCTTGCTGAGGACCAGATACCTCCACCAGTACTGTGCTCAGATACTAGTACATGTAGAAGAAAAATGGAAGGTGAGTGTCTTGAAACTTTACTATTCTTTGAGTCAGGACTGAAAGCAGAAATAATTAAATGATCAAGTGTACAGACACAAAAATTTACACATATTTTTGTGTATGGCATTAAGTCTAGGAACTGCTTGTATGTTTGAATGTTCTTTGTGGAGTTAGTGAGAAAGGAAAAAAAAACTTTTGGAAAAAATTATAAAGGAAAAAGAGAGCTATGTAGACTTGTTGAAACAACAGCCAATTTTGAGAATAAGAAATAGCATGAAACGAATACATTGTATTTCCAACATAAAGTACTAGTTTTCAGTATTCTTATGCTAGAAGCAATTATTTCACAATGAATGAAGGCGAAATGTGAATTGTTAGAGAAAACCCAATGAGTGATATTGACAGTTGGGTTTCTCCAGAAACAGAAAACCAGTAAGAGATGTGAAATTGAATTACCTTTAATATATTTTTCTGTGCTACTTTTGCTTAAGAAAGCAATCACTAGCTCCTTTGTGATCCAGTTGTGATACCTAAATCTGATTAGTAAACTGTGGGCTGACTTTAGAGAGCTTCCTTGGGAAAGATGTAATAGCTCCACTCCCTGATGTTCTGGTTCAACTGGATTAATGAGTGGATGAAGAGTAGTTGTCTTGGTTTACAAATGCCTCCAGAGGCCAGGCAAGGATCAGGTTCTTTCAGGGCTCTTATCTGCAGGAATTCATCGTGTGTGCCATAAGCACTTTCTGTTCTGCCAGACCACTTTATGTTATGGTTGACAACTCTCATTAAGATACGAGATTTTCAGTTCAATTCTGTTGCTCTTTCTTGTCAGCAGATATGATGTATTCATGAGCAATAGTGATGCAATCCACTACTGTATTTTTTGTTGTTGTTGCTAATATGCGCGTTTTTGACATGGATAGTGCCCAGGCCTGCATTTGTTGCTGATCTCTACTGAAGAGCTGAATGACCAATTCATTACCACATTTAAATGGTTAGATGAGAAATGAGATATTTTTATTCAAGGAAACAAATGAGAAAAAAAAACTGCTCTTTTTTTTTTTCCCCTTCCCTACCCACCCTCCCCTCTCTATTACTTTTAATTATTTTTTAATTCAGACTGTGATCCTGTGAAACTCCAGGGGTTTGTGTTTAAAGTGTCCTGGTCCCATGGGCTTTACTATGAATCTCCTTTTATGTGGATACACCTTTGGTTCTAGATGGGAAAAATTAGTTTCCCTTAAATGCCAACTCTGTATTCAACTTGGAACCATGAAGTTAGAGAAGTTGTATTGTTAGATTTTTCTGTAGGCATAGCAGGACCAAACTTAACCCTTTAGAATTATAATAATATATAAGACTTTGTACTTCAGTAAGCCAAGTTTCCAAAACTGCTGAGAATCTGTGGCTCCCATTGTCTTCAATTACAGTGAAACACTTTTGAAAATAAAAAGAGGTATGCAAATAAGCAAAGATGAACGTTGCCACCCATCCTTCTGGCACCAGTGTCATAATTACTCCTATGAAATGACTGATATGCAAGCAGAATGCCTAAGGGGGAATCAGTCAAGATTTTTGTCAAGCTAATCATAGCACTTGGGGTAGATTATCAGCATTTTTTAAATGTCACAATTTGTGAACGTTTCGTTCTGCATTAGGTTCCTCAAAGAGATCTGCAAAGTTTTTATGACTTTGGGAGTACAGATTGAGACATTTGCATGGATATTAAACATTGTTTACAGTTCTGTGTAGATATTTATATGTATTTATTTTTGTCATAAATCATTTAGAGTGCCACTTTCAAATACCTACATTTGATATCAAGTCTTTAAATTATTCTATTTATATTATTATTTCACTGCTTGTATAAAAAACCTGATCAAATGATAACATGTGCAATACTTTTACTGTCTTACTGTTGTTGAAAAGTAACTGTCTGTAGACAGTGTGTTGTAATGTGGAGAGAATATTACTATATAAAATCAGTTTTTCAAATAGAGATGCTAAGATCATCCCTCAGCATCAAGAATTTTAATACAATCAGGCACTATATAAAAGAAGTGAAACTTGTAGCACAGCTTTAAAAATCAAAGAGACAAGTTTCCATCTGCAAGCTAGGAAAGAGTACTTTTATGTCTCAGTTTCAGAGTTGCTGAATTTTGAATGAAGTCTTGAATGAATTTTCTGAAAGAATTATCTCTGTCTTTAATCATTATTTCCTCTTCAACCTAATCTTAACTACAGACAAAGATGGGAACTTAATTATATGGGTTTTTTTCCTTTGTGTTCCTTTCTCTGTCCTGCAGTCATTGAGCTGGGAGATGTCGACTTGAACTGTCCTTCCAACTGTCAAATACATAATACTCATTTCTTCGGAACTGACAGACAGATTATAAGGAGAGGGCAAGCCTTCAGTTTTTATGCCCATTTCCAAAATCGGGAATGGGATGACTCCGTGGACCAGGCTATTTTCACCGTGGAGACAGGTAGTCATTACCAAACACTCTTTCATAGTTCTTTGCTGGTTTGTAATATTTCCCATAATCTTTAGTGACAACTATTATCTACTCATTCATTTTCCATGTGAAGAGATTGCCTTCCCCTAAACCAGGCAGTTCTTCTAATATGTAAAGTTTTCTCACTCTGCTACAGAAGTGACAAGTGAAAAAGAAATCCACCCTTGGGAGCTTCGCCTTGCAAATGATGGCTAAGCAAATTACTAGCCTTTTACATGTGCTTTGTTTAGTCTGATGGAAGTTGTTTTTATTTTCCTGAAAAGGCCTCAGACCCTGTGAATCAAATGAGACAAAATGTACCTTCCCAATGGGCAGATGTCTAGATCAAACCTGCTGGAGTGCTTCCTACAAAATTCATCAGCCAAAATGCATCAGTATCAGCGTGTTTCCTCCCTCCAATGTCTGCATTGGCCGTTATATTCTCAATATGCAAATCACATCTTGTGGTCACACATATCAGCGATGTCTTGGAGATTTTTATGTCCTTTTTAACCCTTGGTGTGCAGGTAAGGACTCTAGTGATTATCAGATAGTTTTAAGAAAATTGCTAGTGATGAGTAAAAATGTTGAACATATTTATTATTTAGCTGGTAAGTAAAGGATGGATCCACAGAAATGAAGAGAAACAAGGAGGGATTTTGTTTTGTTATTTTTTATTTTTTCCTCCAAGTTCAAGACTGTCTCAGGCCAGTGTTTTGTGTTCTTAATGGTGTTAGGGGTGAGGGGGAATGTTTTCCTGCAATTTTTACAATCTTGACAGGATAGAAAGCACTGGGGACAAACTGAAATACAGGACGTTTTCTCTGTTCATCAGAAAACACATTTTTACTGTGAGGGTGACTGAGCAGCAGGACTGATTGGCCAGAGAGGTGGTGGAGTCTCCATCCTTGGAGATATTTAAAAGCTGTTTTCCTGGGAAACTAGTGAGAGGTTGGACCAGATGACCTCCAGATGTCCCTTCCAACCTCAACTATTTTGTAATTCCGTGAATTCTCTGTTATCACTGTGAAATAACATAACACAAATACAAATTAAATTCTGTAGGTCTTCCTCTGGTAGCAAGCAATTCTGGACTCTGTAGGACCTTGTCAAAATCATTACATGACAAATATTCCCATTATCTGTGCTGATTTTATCAAAATGAGATACACACCTCTACCTGTTCAGTGTTGAAGTTGTAGAACAGCTTAGTGTGAAGATAAATTGCAAGCTCTTCCATTAAGGTGTGCTACAACAGGGAGAGACTTCATAAGGGTAGTATCTAGCTGTAAGTAGGAATGAATTATCTGTGAACGTTTAAAGAGCTCTCAAACTTGTACATACTTAAAAGTAAAAATCAAAAATTGGTAGGAATAGAAAGAGGGATCCAGTGAAGCAGAAGATACAGAAGTGCTAGAAAGGTATCTTTTGTCTGAATTATAGCTCTGCATTTTTTCCAGATGACCCTGTATATATGGACAATCAGGCCCATAGAGAAGAATATGTTCTGAATGAGCATGGAATACTGTATGAAGGAGTTCACAAGCATATTACTTCTCGACCATGGCACTTTGGACAGGTACTTTTTGAAGACTTTTTCAGAAATAGATGTCATCCATATACTGATAAGTGAAGCATTATCTATATTTTTTCAGAAATGTATGCTTTATTTGTAGTGAAAAGGTTTTTGGGATCAGTCCAGCCTATGCATACACAAAAGAAAATGTCTGAGAATCTCATTGCAGCCCTGGAAAACTGGAAGGAAGTTTTCCATAGTAAAATTAAGGAAACTGCAGAATATTCTGGGAATAGGTGAAACAAATATTGTTCTTCTGTAGGAAAATTATTCAAGTGGCCAAATACAAGTAAAATTATATGGTTTTCCCTTTGGTTTTCCTTTGGACAGGTAGACAAAACCATTCAGACCACTAGGAGATGTGCTTGATTTAAAAAAAAAAAAAAAAGAAAGAAAAGGGCAGAAGGCAAGAGATAACAGCTCATATAAGTAAAAAAGACTGGATAATTGACAAGAAAGATAATTTATCAGTACCAGAATACCACAATGCCTATGTTAACCTCTCTTTCCTCAGTTTGAAGATGGGATACTGGATATCTGCTTGAAGATCTTAGATATGGGTGCAAGTTACCATCACGGCTCTGATCGTGACCACTGTTGGCGCAATGATCCTGTGCACGTCAGCATGGTGGTAAATCACATGGTAAGACCTCTAGTGGTGTGAGGCCTCTGAATAGATCAGGTCATGCTTCTTTATATTATGGAAGGACAAACTGCACTGTAATCTAAAACACTGTGGTAAGGTAAAATCCTTACTTTGCTCAGATTCACAGGGAAAATAAATTTGTAACACTAATCTCTGATGATTTTGAGGCATGCTTAGGATGTGAAGATGTGGTCAGCTATTTGAAAAGGTTGTTTTTCTTTTATCTTTCTAGATAAGCAGCCATACCACTAACAGTATCATGAAGATTCCAGAAAACAATGATTACCTGAAAGGAACAAAGCCTTTTTCCTGGAATGGAAGTGTCCCTATTCTTCAACAGTGGTACAATGGCAGATGCAGGCCGGTCAGATATGGGTACTGTGGGTCTCTTGCTTCAGTAATGTGCACAGGTACGATATTTCAGTCTGCCCTTATCTAGTTTAATCAAAAAAGAGTAGAAAAAATGAGGATCAAAATCTCTGATACTAAGAACTATTTGAAGAATATTACTCCTAAGCATTTTACTGGAAAATAAATTGAATATTTTTCTCATACTCCTAATATAATGTTTATTATAAACCTATTGCTTTCCTATACAGGCTGAAGAGCAAGAAAAACAGTTCTGTCTTTTCTGTGACCTTCATACTATGCAGTTATCAGTACTGCAACTTTTATTAAAACACAGAGCAAATATAGCATCTTGAATCATAGAATAGTTGGAGTTGAAAGGGACCTTTAAAGGTCATCTAGTCCAACTACCACCATGGAGCCAAAATTTGTGCTTTGGATGAGGTTTGAAAGATGAGAAAAACACTAAGTTACAAACAGTAAGAAGTTCTCTAGCACTATCTCCTCCAAAACACACAAGCATCAGGCTATTTGCTCCTTTTACTGCAAGGAGTAATAGTGGACCAAACACTACAGACAAAAGTTCTAAAAAGGGTTCTAAAATTATACTATTTATTTACTGAACTAGCTTATACATTGAAGACAGATAATTTGAAATCCCATAGATTTGTACCACATTGTTTATAAGAAAGAATTAGTGTTTCATTAATGCAGAACCACATTAATGATTTCTGAACTTAAAACAGATCTGGTTTTGGTTTTTGTTTGGGCTTTTTTTTATTACTTTTTCTTTGTGTGTGTATTTTTTTTGTTTGGTTGGGTTTTGTGTTTTTTTTTTTAAGTTGGAAGAGTAACAAGCTATTTCTTTCTGCTAAGCCTGTTTCAGACTACTTTGCAAAAACTAAAAACAAGTTTTGAAGACAAAATCACTGCATCCCGAATACTGCCTCAAATCCATTCTGTTTCTATAATTGCAAAGTAGGACATACAATAATTATTTATAAAATGAGTGAAGGATTTGCCTGATAAATGTGATTTATAATGACTCATTCATATTTTTTTTCTTTCAGTGATGAGGTGTTTGGGAATTCCAAGCCGTGTTGTAACAAACTTCTGTTTTCCATGCTCAATTGAGAATCCCCTTGGTGTCAGTGAGATTTTTGACTGTACTGGCAAAAACCTGTGTGGCAAAGACAAGCTATGGTAAATAAGAAAAACATAAAGCTCTTTTAAAAAAATTTAATGGTAGAAAAACTGGCATAAATCTAGCAGATCAATGTATCTCTTTGATTTCTTTCTCTGGTGTGGTAAGGCTGTTCAGTTCTCTAATAATGCATTTCAAAAACTTGAAATTACTAAAGATGCAGTCTACTTAATGTATATTTTCAGAAAAGAAAAAAGCAATGGATTCTCGTGAGAATCCATACTGACTGTTTATCCTCAGGTGAAAAATAAGACTGTCAGACTTAGTAGCTGTAAAAGTATAAAGTAGATCATGGGAAAATTTTTTTGTGTCCAAATCTCATCTGTGAGACCTTTTAATGAATTTTCTGCCATATCATATGCCAAAAAGAGGTGAAACTGAAATACTAGGGGAATGAGGATCTGATTTTAGCATAAAATACTTAAGGGCTTATATTTTCTTAAGCCTTAAAAATATGACTAAGTATATTTTATGTATATAGATTTATATATATCTATATCTATCATCTCTATCTCCATAGATTTTCCTCTAAAGAATCAGGAGGAAAATGTTAGGAAAAGAAACTACTTAAACAAAAGAACTATGCTGGCATGTTATCAACTAAAATATGCACATTTTACAATCGGGTTTGTGGTGTTCTGGAGCAAATTTCTAGTTTGAGCAAACAAAACCACTCCTGTCCCTGTTGTTAAGAGGGTTAAGACATAGAAAGAGTTCTGCTGATTAAAATATTATCTCTGGTATGGTTCTTCTCCATTGCAAGGCATTAAACTTTATAATCCAAGAGATATCTTTACTTCCATATTCCTATTCCTTCATCCTATAGGCGATACCACTGCTGGAATGAATCTTGGATGGCTCGCAGAGACATAAATCAGTGCTGTGGTGATTGGCAGTGTCTAGATCCAACACCTTTGGAAACTGGCAGAGGTAACTGTTTACTATAATTGTAATAATTTTCCTCATGTTATGTTGTTTCCTCTACTCAGGTTACAATGTGTTATAACATTTTTGTTCCATGGCTTAGGTTCAGCTTGCAGTGGTCCTACGTGGGTTCGAAGCATCAGGGAAGGGGAACTGGACTTGGATTATGATGGCCATCATATGTTTTCTCGAGTAAATTCCAACTATGTTGGCTGGCTTTCCCAAAACAATGGCAAAAGAACAAAATTTTTCTGTGACACTTGGCCATGTGGACAACGTCTAATCACCAAGAGTATTGGCAGTGAGCAATTTGAAGATATCACTGGAGCTTACAAGTATGAACTAGGTATGACTAAGGCATATTAAATGGGCTAGAGGAAATTTTATATGCTAATCATATAAAAGTATTAATGTAATCTCTGCTGTGTTAAAATGTGTAGAACAATCTGAAATTGTCCTTTTTTTTTTTTTTTTTTGAGAAGGAGGAAGGTTCTTTTCTGTTCAAAGACCTTGATTCTTAAACTTCTAAATATATTTAGGTGATTCAAACAAAGCACATAGTAATTAGATGCATTTAGGATAGGATAGGATGTTTCAGTTGGAAGGACCTACGATGATCATCTCGTCCAACTGCCTCACACTTCAGGACTGACTAAAAGTTAAAACATACTAGTAAGGGCATTGTCCAAATGCCTTTTAGCATTTGCCAGTAAGGTGCTGGCAACCAAAGGACACAATCCACACCTCTAGGAAGCCTGTTCTAGTGTTTGACCAGCCTCTCAATAAAGAAATGCTTCCTAATGTGTAGTCTAAACCTTACCTGGCATGGCTTTGAACCGTTCCCATACTTCCTGTCCCTGGACACTGGCATAAAGAGCTCAACACCTCCCTTTCCACTTCTCCTTATCAGGAAGCTGCAGAGAACAATGAGATCACCCCTCAGCCTCCTTTTCTCCAAACCAGACAAACCCAAAGTCCTTAGCTGCTCTAAGGACATGCCTTCCAGCCCTTTGAATAATGTCATTAGTATGTACATATTTTCATCTCATCTGTACAGTAGTTTAAAATATTAGCAGACTTGAGAGAATCTAAAAAAACCACAAATTCTTCTAAACCTATGATTAATGTCTTACTTGTTACTTCTTGTACAGGGTCTGTCAGAAAATATACCTACTTACTAAATTCACGTATTATTAAAATATTCTGCTATTCTTACTTTGGGCTATAGATTACTGATTTTCATATTCCAGTAGAAGGGAGGATTTCAACCAGCAAAATTGCCTAGAAGAATGAAGGGTGGATCACAGCTGATTGTACAATTGCAAGCTCTGTGGGGTGGTTCTTTTTTTTCTTTGTTTTTGGTTAGTTGTTGGGGTTGGACGGGGTTGTGTGTATTTTTTGTTTGTTTGCATGTTTTTACTTTGCTTTCTTTTTAATAGGAACAAAAAGGAAAACAATTGATAGTTTGTTGTTTGTGTTTTTTTTTAATGGTGTATTTTGCCTTTTTGAGAGACCTGGTAGCATTCCATATTCACCCTTTTCCTTATAAAGAGTTATATTTTTAGTTTTGCTAACGATACATTTTGAGATTTACGTGACCATCTTTATATTTAACTACTTAAAAGTAAAAGAACTTTTTTAAATTTTATTTTTCATGAGACGTTTTTTTTCTTCTGTGCATTCAGACTGCTGTATCTCGTGTTTCATTATCTGGTGGATTTGTGCTAGACCGGCTGGGTACTTTAGGTTCCAGGAAGAAGAAGCAATAAATTTAATTATCTTTATTATTTGAGTAGAATAATAATAGGCTTCTTGTACTTCCAGCAGATGCATTATCGTGTCTTCTTCAACAGGTTCTGTGAAAAACAAAGAAGCCTTTTACCGGGCATACAGAAGAATTCACCCAGGGTACTGCAATGCTTCCAACTGCCATATTGACAGAGAGTTATCATCTCTGAAAAACCCATTTTTGAGTGACTCTGGTATCAACATGAGGTTAAAGATGGCTAACTGCCCAATGTATGGTGAAGATGTCCAACTGCACTGGCTGCTTGAAAATCTGCGTAATGAAAACAAAACCCTGAAGTTTAATTTGTGCGCACAAATTATAACCTACAGTGGCTGCCCGATGGATCAGTTTTGGAAAGACAGTGTGAATGTCACACTGGGTCCAAGAGAAGGTAAGAAGGTGAAATTGTCTAAAACCCTGTTCTTTTCAGGAGATTGCTGTTTTTTAGGATTTGTGGAGACTTCCTAATAGAGGTGGGAAGTGAAATGTATACAGTGTTAAATACTGACAGCTGAATTCCCTTTAGAGTAATCACTCAAAAATCAACGCATTGTCAATACTACATGTATAGTGACAGGTAAACTGTAGTCTTTCCTTAATTTCTCAAAACTTATAGATTCTTTAAAAAATTGTGTCTCATAAAATTTAAATTCTGGTCTCTCGACTCAATACAAAGATTAAGTTGCAGTTGTCTATCAGAAAAGCATTGCTTTCTTTGGCCAGAAGATATTAGCCAGTGGAAAAGACTTGCTTAGAGCACCTAGACATACCATATGTTGGGAAGTGCAAAGGTGTAGCAGAACATAAACACCTGTTTCCATGGTTAATATATTTATTCCTGGAAGAAAAAAGACACTTTTACTTAAACCACATCATTATAAGACAAAATTTCATATTGATATTAAAATACTAAACTTTAATTTGCCTACATTTGAATTATTCCTTGAAGATTGAACTGGAATGAAAGTTTCCAAATTCTGAGTAGTAATAATAATAATAATAATAATAAACAACTAATCTCCTTGTAAATGCACTGATATATTAATTGGAAATAGTGAAACTTATTGTTGAAGATGGCAATGTATCACCCTAAGTCAGGAAAAATCCTATCTGTTTTAAAAGATGATGTGATATACCTTGATATTTATTTAAGCCATTATAACTTTCAGTTAAACTTTAGGAGGAAGGAAAGCGGAAACAATAATAATTCAGGAAAAAAAAAATTTGTTTTACAGTGAAAAAAATTCCACTGTGTATATCGTATAATCAATATGGACCTTACCTGTGTGATCACAACATTATGAAAGTAGTTGCTGTCTCAGACCCAGAGTGTGGAGAAGTTCTGATGGTGAGCAGGGATATTGTGATCAACAGACCACCTGTTATTGTAAAGGTAAAGAACTTTAATTATGGGATTTATGATCTAAGGATCAGACTTAAGGATTCTTATTGGCTACCTCCTAGATACAAGGCCAGTGATCTTGAAATACTTCACTTTTTTTTTACTATAAGTTTTACTTTTAGCAAGATTGGTGTGATTTTTAAAGTATAACAGTTGACTTAAATTATAGAGATCACAGAAGTAAATCAGAAAGAATCATGTATGAAGAGTACTTTTTTTTTTATTTTGTTCCTTACATTTATTTACTTCATTGTTAATTTTTTAAGGGTTACAAAACATAAAATGTGTTTATTTTCTGACTAGCTACTGAGCCAGCCCAGAATGAAGGTACCATGTACTGCAGAGATCTCCTTCTGCAATCCTCTCCAGGAAGATATGAAGAACTGTGTCATGACATTAGAAGGCTGTGGTTTATTCAAAGAGCCAATGACCATTGAGTAAGTTCATCAGTTATTTAAATGTGGATAATATTGAGGGGTGACTAAGGTGTGCAAGATCAGAGCAAGTTTTGAAGAAAATATTAGTTCTGATTTTTTGGTGTCTAACACCTGAACAGGACTTTTTGCCTCTTATTAGTCTGAGACTCCATTAAAAACCTCACTCCTCTTGAAACTGATGGATCATTTAAAGCTGGCAGATACACTGCTGCTTCATTTTTCTCAAGATTTAATTTAAGTAGATGTATCAAATTCCTTTCTGAAAGGGAATTCACTCTTGTCTTTACAAGAAGTGCTAATTGAGTCCCTTACAATCCTATCGACTTTTAATAAAATTCCTCTAAATATTCATGAACTGGCACCACATATAGGAACAATTAGAGAATGACAGTGAGAAACAGCAATATGCATTCTAAAGTCATAAGATGTTAATCACAGAAAACTGGAAACTTCCAGTTAGTTTTCCTAGGAAAAGTAGCTGTTCATTAATATGCATTGCTGTGCTTCATGACAAGGAGAACTGACAAAAGTATGACTAGTTTTGAGGGGAAGCAATTAGGAATTGTTCTCACTGAATAATAATGAACTCAATTCCACAAAGCTGCCCGATCAAACTTAGACTGCTGGAAATGGGAATCAGTATATACATCTTTGAGGCAGAAGGGTACTAACATTTTTGAAGAATTCAGGAGAATATCACAAATTATTTTCCAGTTCCAATTACAGAATTGACTACAAGACTATTCTAAATTTTCTCTTGGGACAGAAGTTTTTACCATGCTTTTCAAAACAAAGAATGTGGGTTTTTTTGGAGGAAGTAAAGAATAAAAAGTTGTCAAAACACTTTGTTTCTAAGAATGTTGTAGCAAATCAAACCCAACTTTTTGTGCTCATCTTGTAGCGCTTCGGGTCTCTGAGCTACCTAGGGTCCTAATTCTTTTCCTTCTCTTGCTGCAGTTTGGGAACACTGGCATCCAACCAACAGGCACGGACCATTGTGGAGTTCACACCTTATAGGCTTGGCAGCCACCGGCTCCTGGCCAACTTTGGATGCCATAAGTTTGCCTACTGCAAGGGATGTGCCAAGGCTGAAGTGTGCTGCTCTGCAGGCCAGAATGGTGTCCTGCCTGTCAGCCAGAATGGGTCACTCCCAGTGTGTGAGAATGGCTCTGTCCCCGTGAATGGCTCTGGGCCTGTCCCTGTGGCCGACCCTGCGTTCAACTCCATGTGTGAATATATATGTATCCCAGTGTGCAACCCAAACTGCAGTGCAGGGGGCCAGCCTGTGTACGACTTCGTGTACCTCCCTGCAGGCCATCCCTTATGCAACTCCATCTGCAACCAAGGATTCAATCCAAGCATCAGTTCTGGTTTTGAGATGGGATGCGATCCTGGCTTCCGTGTCATATGCGAGACAGTGCCTCCTGCTACGTGTACTCCGGTGCCTCAATCCATGTATAGCTCCATGCCTGCCCCAACATCCAACCCTGTGTGCACCCCTATGCCTCATGTGGTGTTTGAGACAGGTTCTGCTCCCACACAGTTGCCTGGAGCTGGAGGGGGGCCGATGTCCTATTCTGTCTCTGTCCCCGCGAACAATGCGGTGAGTGCGTTGCTGACCCACTTCATGGCTGGCCCCACTGTGGCAACACAGGCAGTCCCTACCCATATGTCTGCTCCACCATCCTACTCTATGTGCTCTCCTGTAGTCCACACAATTGGCAGTCCCATGCCATCTGCAGCTCCCCTTTCAGTGCCTGGTGCCTCCATATCGCATGTCGTCTGTGGCTCTGCACCCTCTCCCACCACCCAGCCTCCATGTGGTCCAATGGCCACCGTGGCCTCTCAACCCCTGAGTGCCCCAGCAGCCCACGGGGTGTGCTCCCCAAGCCCCTGCCCAGTGGCTTCCCCAGTGTCCCGCACTGCTGACCGTAGCACCACCCCAACAGGGCTGCAGATGAGGAGCTCCCCAGCCCCCCGTCCCGTGGGACCCCCAGCAGCCCACTCACTGTGCTCTCCGGCCTCCCGCCCAGTAGGGCCCCCTGCAGCCCATTCGCTGTGCTCCCCCAATTCTGCCTCTCTGGGGGCTGGGGGGTCCCGCCCTGCCAGCTCTCCTGCAGCTCAACCCTTGGAGTCATCGTCAGCAGCCTGCCTCCCGTGCCCCCCGTCCCCACGCCCCCTGTCAGCTGTCACAGCCCAGTCCCTCTATGCCCCTACCTCTCGTTCCATCTCCCGGTTTGTGGGCACACAGGGGTCTCGCTCGCTGTGTGGTTCTCAGTGGGGCCCCTCCTGTGACACCACCACTCGCTCGGGCTCCCAATCCATGTGGGGTCTCACCTCCAGATCATTGTGGAGCCCCGAGGGGCGCTCAGGCTATTCCTCGTCCCGCACCGCCTATGGCACCCTCACACGCCCTCCGTACAGCTCCTTGTCCCGCTCCTCCTACAACACCTTGTCCCGCTCTGCCTACAGCACCCTACCTCGCTCCACCTCTCCCTCTCCTTATGCCACCCTGACCCGCTCTGGGTCATGCCCCTCTGGCAGCACCCTGGCCCTAGCAGGGTCCCGCAGACCCTGGAGCCCCGGGAGGAGCACTCTCACCTATTTCAAACGCAAATACCTGTAATGGAGAGTAACCTGGGAAAATGCAAAGCCGGTGAGTTAAAGCAGGTGTGCAGACACTTTGAAAGAGGTTAGAAATAGGGTGATGGAGAGCAGCATGCATAGTCCTGAGTATTTATTTAAGGATTTGAGATGTACCAGAAAATGGGCTGCAAGACAACTGCTGAGGGATGCATTCATGTGATACTTGCATGTCTTGAGATATGGTAGGTGGAAGTGACAAATGAACGTGCTCCCCGTGGAGCTGTCATGACAATAGCTGCACAGTGCAGGTAATCAGACTTCCTTGCTCAGTCAAGCTGTTTTATAGATGATGTGCTTTCCACTCTCTCTCCTCTTGATTTCTTGCAATGTGTATTTCTCAGATCCTCCTAAGCTACAGCACTTATAGCAAATCTCTCTCCCTGCATGAAATGTACTGTCCTTGGGATGTTGCAAAGAAGTGGCAGCAGATGTACCTTAAGTCCTGCCTAATAGACACTGTGTCCCTGAGCCCCAGTGTTGTAGCTCAGACCAGTTCTGGGTGCACTCATATTTCCCTGTTTGTGAGGCAATGAAAACTGTGGAGGTTGTGGAGTAACTAAATCATTACAAATCAACTGAAGAGTTTAATTGCTTCTTTTTCCTTTTTTTTTTTTTTTTTTTTAATAATAAGTTTAGTATTACTACTCTTGATGTGTTACAGTTCCAGTATCAGGAATCAAAAAACCTATTGAATAATAATTACCAATTTATTGGCTTTCACAACTGAATGTTTTTCATGTGTTTCATATTCCAAAAAATTTCTCATATACATTGTATGCATTTAGGTTTATGGGAAAAGCTTTAATTCCACAGCTGTGCCTTTTTGATTCAGTACAGCTGGGAAACTTCTGTCACTAGACCTGAATTAGAGAAGGATAGATGACTTTATCCTTTGTTTCCAACACCTGGACTTCCTAACTCGAAAGGTTAAGTAGGTGAATGGAAATGTATCTTCTTCAGATGACTGGTACTGTTTTAGTGCTAACCTTCTCCAGGTGTTTTAGTAGTTGAAATTATATATTCTCATAATGAAACTGTTCCTTAATTTTGGATTTGCTCACAAGAATTTTGGATTTACTGACATCTCCCATCACTCCCTTATTTTCCTTTAGTATTCCATTATTTCTACTAGCAGGTGTTTGTGGGGTTTTGTGGTAAGATAATTTTGCTGGTGCTGCAGAATCTTCAGTTATGTAGCAATAATTTTTCAGTAGTATCACTGTAGTTCGTGCCCCTATGTGATGAGACTGAGTAACCTTCTGAGGATATTGAAAAAGTGTGGTGTCAGATTGTAGCTATGAACATGCCAACACTATCAACTGCATAGTAATTCTGAGTATGGTAGAAGAAATATTTACCTGAATATTGTAGTAGAGTTGTCATAATTCAATGACTTGGGTTTTTTTACACAGTTTCAATAGTCTCTTTTAGGTATGTGCTGAGAATTTCTTTGCCTTATTGACAATAAAAATGGAAATTTAAAAAACACCTGTCACTCTGCTGTTTTGATTTCTTTTTTTTCAGTAATACCTCTTGAAAAATAAGGAATAAATCTCTTCATCTGAACTAGTATGTGAAGTCTCCTCTCCACTCCATTTCTGTTAAATTTACTCTTCTTTCCCTAAAGTCTTCAAAATAAATCTATAGATTTCCTACTATATCTGAAATACTCAGTTTGGTATTCAGAGAAAAATGAAGCTATCTTCTTTGCTCACAATAAAGCTTTCCACTTGTAGATGTTGCATGAGTTTTTCCTTTGCTTTCATGGTCTGTAAAGCTCTAAATCCACAGAAATGCCAAAATGAAAAAAACTTTGGGTGACAGAGGAAGGGATAGAAAAGGTACCAACAGTATCTACTTCAGAAAAATATGGTTGGTGTTTGTTTTTATTTTTTTTTTGAGAAAGTGTTAATAGTTCATGGCAGCTACATAATTATCAAATATAGTTTCAGATTTCTTTTTCCAGTAGTAGCTTGACTTCTCCAATGTTCCTATTTTCTGAGAACAAGCTTAGTTGCATATTTCAGAAACTCCAAAGATTTGGTCACTAGGAGTTGTTGACAATGTGTGCAAACTTTATTCCTGACTCTTCTTGCTGTATGTGCTGAATATACATTACTTTTGAAAATTGTAGTAAGTTAATTAGAGCCATAGGGTCTAACAGAAATCCTGTAAGTTCAAAATTATTCTACTAGAAAAGAAATTATATTGAGTGTATTGTTGTCACATACAGCCTAGGAATAACGAAAGGTAGCTTGAAGACTCCTAACAAAATCCATTATACAGTCTCATATTCATTTGGGGGATGGGGGGGGGGCGTCAACACATGGACACGTAAACAAAAAGAGACCCTAAACCAGTAACAACAAAAAGCCCATCAAACAAGAGAATTTAAATTATCTCCTTCTTAAATGTTTATGAATGACAAGCTCTAGCCTATATCTTATAATGTAGTTCCCATGACAGGAAACATTTTAAATTTGCACTAAATTTCTGGTTTGTTTTGTGGTGGGTTGGATTGTTTGTGGGTTTTTTTTCCAAAATTGGCCAGAAAAAGTCTGACCAAAGTGACTGTCTCAAATATACTTTCTTGAAGTAAAACCCACAAGAATTTTTTTTTTAATATATTAAATATATTGAAGATTAACAGTATTCAGCAATGTGGTGTGATACATAAAGAAGTCTATTTTAGAGAATGGAAGGCCAACTCAAGCACGACAGTTATAGTCATCAGCTATTAAATACAGTCAGTACTGTCATATTCATGTGTTCAGAAATACATTTCTAATTTTAATCTCACTTCAGCCATGTATTTTATTTAAGTGAAGGAAATATATTCACATTTTCCCTAGGCAGTGAAGGTGAAAAAAGGCACTTCCTCATGCATTATTATAGTTACCCTTTCTATGATTTAAAATAATAAATCAGAGTACAGGACTTTATGTTCAACTAAAATAAATCTGTATTTATCTTAAAGATAAGAAAGAATCTAATATATGGTAATTTTCAGTTATTATCCCTAACAGTTCTTTAGACCTTTAAAAATAATTTTTTAGATGAGAAGATTTGAAGATTTATCTGCAAGTTAACTGTTTCACTTTTAATACTTAAGGTTTGTGCTTTGGATATTTGGTGATGACATACCATAAAATGCTTGTGTGAAATGTGATTTATTTTTATATATTCCATTACCTGCAAGACAAGTATTGAAAGGTGTAATTCAATGAAAAACTTCCCTTCCAAGCATTAGTTATAGAGATAAATTAAATTTGATATATTGTGTCAGACAAGAAGATTAAATTAGGGAAACACTATTAATTTTATTTACTGTTAAAACCAAACAAAATATTTATGAATATGTATGTTGAATTTTATAAAATTGAATAAATTAAATATGCTAATCAGGAAAACATGAAAATATTCAAAATTCAGAAGATGTCAAGGATTTCTTTTTTTGTTATGCAGCAATTTTATGTCATATGTTGTATTCTTCCATTATATCTGAATATTCAGAATTCGTTTTTTTCATACTGCATTTGCAGAAGTGTTTTTATAAGGAAAGGTCTTTATTTGTACGAGGAAATACTATTCAAATATTTTACAGCTATCCCAGACCTTTCTTCCTTTTGATGTCTTAAATGGGAGGAGTTTCGTCCATGTCTTTGTATGTTCTTCCTTCTTCTTTGTCTTTGAACTGCAAGGTATATTATGTAATGTACTTGTACACTCGTTTGTATTGAGTAACTTTCTGACTAACACTGGAATAAAAGTTTAGTGCAGGATACCAGTGCAGGACTGAAAACAGACACTGTTCCCAACCCAAGGATTAAATACAGTGTTTGTGCCCAGCTGAGCCCTCATTACTATTCTGTTGTTTATTTATAGAAATAATTAAATCTTATACCACACTACTTCCAATTTTAAATCTCTTCCTTTCAGATGTTCTAACTGGCCACACCTGTCTGAACTTTTCAACTAACTGTAGTTTTTTTCTTCTTCTGTCCCGAGTAAAGTTGCCATTGGTAGTGCTCAGTAGATGGCATCAAATTTCACTGAATCTCTGACAGTATATCAAGTTAGCTTTAGATTAATTAGAAATAGAGAAATGCTGATGTTTGAGATAAATATTACCAGGAATCCTTGCTGCCCCAATCTATTAAAATATGCCAGTAAACCTAATCCATCATCTGCAGCAATTTCTGGGTGTAGAGCTCAGACACTGGCTATTAACCCTGACCTAAAAATACTCTGTAATTCTGACTGAGCTAAATGTAGCATCCTCATCTCTAATTTTTGCTTATCGCTTAATTTCGTTTTGACCTTTTTTCTTTGGCCTTTGTCCCTTTTCCAAGCAGGTGAAACAATTAGAATAGCTAGAGGCTTCTTAGTTGCAACTATCATCAAAATTGCAAGTCAGACATTTCAGAGTATTTAATAGGGAATTCTGTCTTCAGAGCACAAGCATTATAAGACTGAGAGAATACTGAGGTTTTTGTAATGATCTTGTTCCTTTCCTTGAGGTGATCTCAGTCAATTCTATAATAGCATGAGTCATTAGGGGTCCCAACTGCACATTAACTGAATACTAAAGTGGGCTTTTCTGCATCGCTGACTGAAGGCCATTTGCCAAGGACAGTATCAATGCAGAAGGAATGATAAACAGGATTCACTGAGATCTGTTCTATAACAACTTCACAGGGAAACTCCATATGCTTCTGTAAAACTCTATATGAAGTTTATTCAAAGATCATGGATCAAACAGAAATAATATATAGAAGGGTTATCTCATACATAAGGCAAAAATTAGGCACTAAATGCCAAAAATTATGATTCTGAAAATTTTATGATGGCTAATACTTAATTCTGGTGACATCCAAACCCTGCAGGAGCCTTACTGCTCCTTTTTAAAATCTTGACGTGTTCATATTTATGTCCCAATACATACGGATTTTTGAGATAGTGAGATCTGCATTGAACACGGTGTGCTTCTCATTACTCTTAAGACAAATCAAAGTCCAGAAGCTAAGTATTTCCAGCCCAAATTCCTTTAGTAGTGTAATCCTTGGTATGGTCAGAATGCATATAGCATATCCACTAATTTTATAAATAGCCCTCATCTTTTGTATTTAAGCTGCTCTAAGCAGCAGTTCTAAGCTAGACTCAAACTACAGGACATACATACACAGTTAAGTGTCTTATCAGTATCCTGAAGGACTTAGTTTCCTTCTGTTTCTCCCATGATATAGAATTTTTTTTTTTCCCATCCATAGCAGAAGGGTGCTGTCTTTCTCTTCCCCATTACAAAGGAGACAGTAATTTTCTCTGTCTGTCTGGGGAGAGCATTTCTGGAGGCAAAGGACATATCCAATTCCAGTAAGCAAAGAATCAAGTGGGAAACTACCTCTTGATATAAATGTTCCAGGCACTTGATGCTGCTTGTACTTGAAAAGAAAGGTTTAGCTTTGTTCTACTGATTCCCATAGGGATGGATGTAGCTATTGCTTTGAGTGATGTCCATAATCCCCATAGTATAAAGGTTTTTTTCCACCTACTTGTTTGCTAAAGTTTTCTTCCTGGATGTCTCTAGAGAGTTGAAGGCAAATCACTTTCCAGCATTTCCTGGCTACTTGTCTGGGCCACTAACACTCTTGCCATCTACATAGAATCATATTCTTGATTTATTTTAGAGGGAAATGAATGCATGAGGGAGAAAGCTCCTGAACATTAGTTGTTACAGAGATTATGTAGAAAAGGCAGTGCCTGATCAGTAGAAGCTTCTGGTTCAACTCCATGATCTCTGTGGGTTTCTTCCAACTCAGAGTGACCTGTGATTCTGTAATTCTTCCCATCCTTATTGAATTGAAACCTTAGTCCTTAATCCCTAGAAACTCTTCTTCTGAAGGACAAAAAGTAAGCTGTGTGTTTTGGGGTTTTTTTTGTTTGTTTGTTTTTTTGGGGGTGACAAAAAAGGAAAGAGGACAGTCTTTTGCTGATCCAAGCTTTGTAGTACTAAATGACATTCACAGAGAATGGTTGTCCAGATCTGTCCTTGTGGATTGGCTTAACTACCGAACTCTTTCCTTCTTATACACCATGGCTGCCCTGATGTGACAAAGCTATCACCTCTGTTGCTGTGAGTACAGCAACCACTTTGATGTCTGAAAGGGATTTATGGTAATGAAGTATGAAAGGAGCAAGGACTTTCAAGCAAATGGAAGTGATCATGCAAATACAAATAATAAATATAAATAAATGTAAATGTTCTTCTGTCCTAAATACATTTATCTTAGTTTCTTTCTTTCAAAGCTTGGACTGTGTGCTGTTTTTCAGAAAGAGGCTGTCTACAAGAAGATTCAATTCATAAATATGTAAATTATTTGAGTTGCTTTTATATACAATCTTTTGCTTCTGTATCTTGGCCAATAGGGCTCTAGAAAGCTGAGAAAAGAAAATGTGAAAAACTTTTGTAAGGTAACGTCTTTGAGGATTAAATAATTTTTAGGTTTAAAACCACATATATTAAAATGTATATATTTCCATATGCATAAGATGGAAAATTCCGTATAAAAACGTTAATTGTGTTTAAAATTTCCCCACATCAGC